CCTGTCTCCGCACTCCATCCTCGCTACAGCCACGATCACCGCCACCACCAGCCACCGTGTGCACATCGAGCCCCCCCCNCCCCCCCCCCGCACCTCCCCTCCTCGACGTCATGACCATCCAGTCCGCCCAGACGACGGCCAAGGCGACGACGGCCAAGGCGACGACGGCCACACTCGCAGCAGCCACCACGGCGTCGCTCGACGACCTCACACCGGCCAACCTCGAGTGCATACGGCGCCTCCAAGCGGCGCAACCGCCCCCCTCGTTTGACCACGTCCCGCACCGCAGCCAGGCGGCCGTCGCCGTCATCCTCTTCCAGGGCACCGACGCGCAGCTCCACGCCATCATGACGACGCGCGCACAGCACCTCCGTTCCCACCCGGGACAGGCATCGCTGCCCGGCGGCAAGATGGACTCGACCGACAGCGACGTCGCCTGGACGGCGTTGCGCGAGAGCTGCGAAGAGGTCGGCCTCGACCCGAAATCCGTTTCCTACATCCACACCTTTGCACCTTTCCTCAGCAAGACGGCGCTCCTCGTCCATCCCGTCGTCTTCTACCTTCGCGGCGGAGAGGCGGCACTCAAACACCTTGTCGCCTCTCCCAGCGAGGTCGACCTGATCTGGTCCACGCCCCTCGAACAGTTCCTCTCGTCGACGGCGCCAAAGCACCTCGAGGCCCACCTCGCCCACCCAAGCTCCGTAGACAAGCATCGACCCCCGCAGACGGCCTTCCGCACCTACACCGACGTGCCCTGGATCTCGGGCTCCTACCGCATGCACCGCTTCCGATCCCAGCACCAGCTTATAAAGGGCCTCACCGCCGACGTCCTCATCCACACCGCCACCTGCGCCTACGGCCGCCGCCCCGCCTACCCCGTCTGCGCACCCGACCAGCTCTCCTGGTCCGACATGGTCGACAGAGTCCTCCAGCGCCAGCACAAGGGACAGCGCGGCGAAAGGCGGTGGGGCGACGGCGAATCGGGCGACGCCTATGGCTCCAGCGAGGCTTACGCCACCAACATTGGCGTCGACGATGAGTGACAGGGCAGCCGTCGAGTGCTAGGGGCGCCGCCCCGAGGATGCAGGCCATGTTCCAATAGAATCACGGATCAGTTTGAAAGCCCGGGATCAAGGGAGCGTACCATGGAGGAAGGAGGCAGGAAATGTTACAAGGTCATGGACAACGAGCGGCGAATGAGCGAGAGAAGCCGAGAATAGGAAACGGACCGGGCGCGCCCATCGACAGGGCCAAGCCACGAAGACGAGCGGCAGAGTCGTAGGAGCCAGAGAAGGCAGATGCATTGCCCGTCTCAGGCCTCGATCGTGTAGCCCTCAAACTGGTAGTCGATGCCGGCGGCCTTGAGGTTCTGGCGGCGCGCCTCCTGGCGATCGAGTAGCTTCTGGTTCCTCTTGGCCTGCTGCTCGGGCGTCTTTGGCTGGCTCCTGCGCACCCGCTCCAGGCGGTCGACGGGCACCGGGCGGTACTTGCGGTCGGCGCCGATCCAGAGCTTGGGGTGGATCTTGTCCCTTGGCACCTCGCGCACCTGGAGCAGGTGGCCGTCGATGAGGTAGTTGTTCATCGTCTCCTGCACAATCGCCGCCACGTCGCGGTCGGCAAACTCGACAAACGCATAGTGCTTGGGCTTGCCCGTCTTGCGGTTGCGGCTGACGCGCAGCCTCCGCACGTCGCCAAACTGCGACAGGTAGCTGCGCAGCTGGTCCTCGAGAAAGCCGTGCGGCAGGCGGCCAAAGTAGAGGGTGGCGGGCACCTCGGCCGTCCGGTTGGCCACCTTGCGCTTGGCCACCCGGTCCAGCCGCTGCTTGACGCTGTGGTCGTCCTTGGCGTTGGGCAGCTTGACGGTGAGGATCGAGGCATTCTTGCCCGCCTCGACGTCATCCTCGTCGTCCTCCTCGTCGGACGAATCGGCATCGTCATCGCTGCCCGACACGTCCGACAGGCCCCGGATGATCTCGGACTCGTCCAGCGCCTCGTCCGCCTCCTCTGAGTCCTCCTCGTCGTTCTCTTCTTGCGCTGTTGCCGCCTCCGCGGCTTCGTCCTCCTCCGAAGCTGGAGCAGCTGCAGCGGCCGCTTTTGCCTTGCCACTCTGCTGCTGCTTCTTGGACGTCGTCGTGGCCGCCTTCTTGGCCGCGGCCGGGGAAGCAGCCGCCTGGACCTCCTCTGCGGACCCATCGTCCTTGTCCTCGTCTGCGGCCTCCCTCGCCCGCTTCTTTCCGTTGGTGGCCGCCTTCTTCTTGGGCGTCGGCTCGTTGACCTCCTTGTGCGTCACCTCGGCCTGCTCCTTGGCGGCCGCCTTGCTGGGCAGCCTCTTCTTGGGCTCCCCCGCAGCGTCCAGCGCCTTGTCGGTCTTGGCGCGCGTCTGCTTCTTGGCCGCAGTGGTGGGAGTGTCGTGGGCGTCGGCATCGGCGTCGCCGGCCGCAGCGACGCGGACCGACTTCTTCTTGGCGGGCGCTGGCG